ATATAAAACTTTCACTGAAATATTATCCTGTATTTTTTAAAAATATTATGTTTGATTAAATTAATAAACTAAACAAGTCTATCTCACATTCTACATATATAGAAACTGTGATTATATAAAGTTTGCATCAAGCATAAACCCGCGTTTTGAAAGCGCGGGTCAAAATCTAGTCTAATATATTAAAATAGAATCATATTTTTATCTACTAATAAAAAAGTCATTGAATCTTTTTATTGGTAATTTTTATTATATAAAAAAATAATATCTATATATTATATCACTTGAATACAATATATCATTACACATAAGAATATTTTACTATAACACTATTTATGTTTGAATATTTGTTATTTTACTTTAACAAAATCTTTTAGAATCTTTTGATTATTAATTTTAAATAATGCATTAAATTCGTAATTATCAGTAAAATATTAAAAATAAATATTATTTAAATTTTAAATCCAAAATTGTATTTATAACTTTTATATATATATATATATATATATTAGTTTCTAAAGTTAAATAACAATTATAAAAAGTTGATGTTTTATGTTTTTCAATTAAATTAAATAAATAAAATTTATTTAAATCACAAAATCACAAAATAAATTTTGACCCATAAAAATATAAACAAAATCTAATCTATTTTCATTAGAAAACATCAAAAAATTAACGAAACAGATTAAATAAATAAACTATTCTAATTTGATTTTTATATAAATATATTCATTTTAAATTTAAATATAAGTATTAAAATAAAAATAAATTATATATTAAGATATGTTTTTAGTAAAAATGAATAAAATATATAATTATATATTTATAATATCGAACAAGACATTTTAAATTACATAATATAAAACACTAAACTATCATAAAATATTTAATCAATTTGTCATAAAAATTAAATATAAATAATTTATAAAAACAAAAACATATCCCCTGATTAAAATCTAGTCTATCTTATTAAAGTAGAAGTACTTTAACCTTTTGTTTGGAAACATGGATAGCAGTATTTAAAATAAGTAAGTTTGGAAACATAGATATCAATATTTAATAAGATCTGGTATTTATTGTTACAAAGATTTGCTATTTATTTAAAATCGTAAATATAATTAATTTTAGTCACTAACAATATTTAAGAATATTCGTTTTT